GAACGTTGGGGACTCGGGGCAAGGCGAGAGGTGGATAGGGGAGGGTGTCAGCCACCACTACCAGGGGCTGGGCTGGGTCCTGCTGCAGGAAGGAGTCCACCAGCTCGGGTACTGCATTGTCAAAGGCCTCAAACTCCCGCACTAGGACAGTGACTCGGGGACCCGCAGTGGTTGCCCGGTGGGGGCTGCGGGCACGGGAGTTCCTGGGCTGGTGCTGCAGCCACGAGAAGTAGAAGAGGACCAGGAGGTTGAGGGTGATGGCAGCTGCCAGGACAGCCTGGCAGCGTGTGAACCGCATGGGGCCGAGGCCAGGCCCTAGCCGGGCGTCCAGGTCATCCTGAGGAGACAGAAAGGAAGGAGAGTCTGGAGCTGGCTGTCAGAAGCTCCCTCCCTCGGCCCCACTCCTTCAGGGCTGGACACGGAACTTTGGGCCCTGCATGCTAGGCAAGTGCTGCGACTGGGCTACACCCCAATCCTGCTGCCCCGACTTTTTTCTGCCAGGAAGTCCCCTCTGACTTCCTACCCTGGATCTTGCAACTACGCGGCTCCTACACTTTTCAAGGGTTTTCCTACCTCGGCCTAACCACTCTTAAGTCGTCGTTGTGTGGGACACCATGAGGGTAGAACCTGAGGCGGACTTGCTCACTGCTGGGTTGCCAGCACCATCAAGGACAGAACCAGGGACACATTCGGTGCTCAGTTACCCCCACCCAGTGAATTGCTTCCTTTGTTCAGTCTCATCTTTCACAAAGTCTGTCAGCTTCTTCAGATTAAGGGTCAGTTATAAACACCTTGACTCCATCCCCAAACCCAGAAGCCAGCCCTGATCTCCTCTTTGCTCCTCCCACTCCTGGTCCCCAGCATTACCCCAAGCTCCTCCTCCTGCCTCTTCTCACTTTTCCAAGCCATGTGCCATCAGGTGATCTTCCTGATGGTCAGCCAGGTCACTGACTTTGCAGGAAGAGTCAGAAATGTTAAAAACAATAAATAAAAAGCTGGCCTTCAACTCACTGTGTGGCCCAGGCTGTCCTCAAACGAGTGGCAGTTCTCCTGCCTCTCCTCCTAAGTGCGGGATTAGAGATGTTCCACCATACCTGGCCAATATGAATGCATTTAATGCCACTGAAACCTGATTACGATGGTAAGATAGTAAAATTTTATCCTATGTGCCCTCTATTACAATTTAAAAATTTTGAAATGGAATGGATCATCAAAAGAGGCTGCCTCACCCAGCCTTGCATGATGGTGCAGGCCTGTAATCCCAGCATTCTGGGAGGCAATGGCAGGATTGCAAGTTTGAGCCCATCCTGGGCAATTTATTCAGACTTTAAAAAAATAAATTAAAAGGGCTGGGGCTGAGGGACAAAGCCCTATGTAGTCACCACTACACTGTGTACACAGGCTGCAACCACAGGGCACACAGCCCAGCCCATTATACTCCCAGCAAGCCCTAGATGGCGCTGTCTCCCTGTCACCATCGACTTCGAAGGTTTGCCTGGTCTGGGCACAGGTGGTGTAATCTGGGTTACCACAGGTGCTGGAAGTTTCTCCAGAAAGGATCGTTACAAGTTTCTGTTCCTCCCCAAGAGAAGGGACATCGGAGACCCAGCCAATCCTCCTTCAAAAATACTTTTGTCTCCTCCTGCCTGTTTTCACAGTTTCCTCCCAGTCTGGATTCACCAAAGCTCACCAAACTATCCCCTGGTCTTCCACCAGAGTTCTGTCTTCCTGGTAGCCCAGAGGGGCACATATCTGACCTCTCCCTCCATGCCCATAACTTGCCATGGCTCCCTAGTGCCCAGGGGAAAAGGTTAAGGCTGTTCTGGACATTCCACCCCTGCCCACCATTCTAGCCTTATCTACTGCCCCGCCTCTCTCAAATTCTGGGCCTAAATCACCTGGTGCTTTTTCTCAAACTGGTATTATTGACATTATTATTATTATTATTATTATTTTAGTAGTGGGAATCAAACTCAGGGCCTCATGCTTGCCAGGCAGGTGCTGTGCCACTGAGCTACATCCCCAGCCCAAACTGGTCTTATTTCTAAGTCACTGTACATTCTTTTCCTTCTGTTCAGAAAGGGTCTCCTTCCTGAAACCCCAAATTCTTCTTCTGGAGAACTACTTAGGCTTGAGGGCTCAGCTCAGGTGCCTCCTCCTGCAGGAAGCCTTCCCCGAACCCTGTGTTGAGTCCAGTCTGCAGCCCTGCTCTGGGAAAGGGTCTGTCTGCCTCACTGGGCTGTGTGCCCCGAGAGAGCAGAGCAGAGCTGTCACGTCCTCACATGTAGCCAGGAACTGAGAATGCAGGGGGTGAAAAAGATGACGGCCAGGGTGAGGGTTTCCTGTTTGCAAAGCCCAGGAAGGTCCAGGAGTCAAACTCTGCCTTTCTGCCATGTGCCCAGGCCTGGTCTTCCTGCTCCCTCCCTCCCTCCTACAAGGCAGGAATGCCTTCCCTCCCCTTCTTTACCCACTCCTAGTTCTGTTTGCTCTTCTCCAACATAGTCTGCACCACACTTAAGAATCTGGTGGGTGTAGCTCTGTGATACAGTGCTTGCCTAGCAAACATAAGGGGCCCAGGTTTGATCCCCACCACTGAGGGAGAAAATCGAAAAGAAAAAAAAAAGAATATGAATTGCATATTAAAAGTAATTTTCAGACTAGGATACAGCTCAGTAGCACAGCACTTCCCTACCATGCATGGGATCCCCAGTACTGATAAAAAAAAAGTGACTTTGCCAGGCACTATGGCATGTGCCTGTAGTCTGTAGTCCCAGCTACCCTCACTGCCTCAAAAAAAAAAAAAAAAAGCCAGACATGGTGCATGTTTGTAATACCAGCACTTGGGAGGCTGAGGCAGGATCACCAGCCTGGGTTACACAGTGAATTCCAGGTCAGCCTGAACTATATAGTGAGACCCTGTCTCAAAAAACCAAAACAAAAAACAAATTATTATTATTTTTTCTGGTATGGGGGATTACACTCAGGACCTTGTGCTTGTAAGACAGCCATGGTTGCCACTGAGCTATATCCCTGTCCCCCCCCAAAATAAATTTATAAAGTGCTAGTTCTGCCATCTGCATTGCAAGTACAAGGTCTGGAGTTCGATATTTGGTACCTAAAAAAAAAAAGTGCTGGTGATGTAGCTCAGTCTGAAGGCCCTGGGTACAACCCCCCCGCCCGCCACAGAGTCCTGAAAGGCAGCAAGAGACCACGTTTTTGCTTCCACCTTTGTCCCCTGTTCCATACAAAGTACCCAGAGGGATCCTTTAAAATTAAGTTAGTGCTAGCACAATGGTATGGGCCTGCGATCTTAGTGGCTCAGGAGGCTGAGGCAGGAAGGTTTAAATTTGAGCCCAGCTTGGGGAACTTAGTGACTTAGCAAAACCCTGTGTCAAAATAAAAAACAGTAAGGAGTCCTCGTGGTGCAACAGTAGCACGTCTGACTCCATAATACAAAATAAAAGGGATTTGGGATGTAGCTCAGTGTGAAGGCTCTGGGTCCAATCCTCACCCTCCCACCAAAAAAAACTGAGTTAGAGAGCTAGAGTTAGAGTTAGACCTGGCCCTACCTCTTCTCAGGCCCCCAAAGGCTTGCCTGTTGCTAAAAGGAGACACTGATGTCATTGCTGTTGTCGCAAGGCCAGCACAGGGGCCTTTCCCACCTGCTCTCTCAGCTCCAGCAACACTAGTACCCTAACCCATTCTGCAGAGGCATCTGCGCCTGCAGCAGCTGAACTGCCCTGAACTGCTTCGCACCTACCTGGCTGCTCCGCCCCCAGGCCCTCAGGTCTTGGCTCAGGGTCACCTTCCAGGGAGCCCTGGCTCTGGCTGTCCTAGTCAGCAGTGCCTCTGCGTTACCCACGCCTCCTCTCCCGATCTCAACTCTCCTTTTCTCCCTCGGTAAGTAGCACGTGCATTTGACTTTCTTCTTTGTTGTCCAGTCCCCATGGAGGGCAAAAATCTGTGTCTGTTTTGTTCTCTACTGTACCCCAGAGCACCGCTCAGGGCCCAGCCTCCTGCAGGTGCTCAAGAAACGCTGCACTGAACGAATGAGTGATGTAAATTGTCGTGATAGAGAAACTGGTTCAGAGACCAGGAGGCCAGGACCAGGTCTCCACTTCCAAGGCCACACTCTCCGTGGAGGACACTGGGCCAGGAGCTGCCCAGCAGGGCAGAGGACAAAAACTGGGTTCTAGGGACAGGAACTTTGATGGCCAGGTGCAGACTGTGGTGGGGGTGTGAGGGAAGCCAAGAAGGAAAAGAACCCGCTAAGTTGGGTCTCAGCTTCATGTACTATAGGGACTACAAAATTATTTGTTGGGGCAAGGTCAATGGAATGATTTGTTTTTTGAGACAGAGTCTCACTATGTAGTTCAGGATGGCCTTGAACTCATTATGTAGTCTCAGGGTTCCCCCTGCCTCAACCTCCAAAGTGCTGGGATTACAGGTGTGGGCCACCATGCCTGGTTCCGAATGATGATTTTTTTTTCTTTTTTTTTTTGGTACTAGGGATCGAATTCGCTCCTTGTTGAGCTTGTGAGGCAGGCACTGGAACCACTGATCTAAGTCCCCGGCCCTGAATGATGATTTTTGAAGGCCGGAATGTCCTACAAGGTTCTGAATCAGAATCTATAACATCACAATTCCAGCAGTTCATAGTGTGCCAGGCCCTGTTCTAGGCACTTTGGAAGCATTCACAGTTCTAACCAGTTCACCCATTTTATCCTGCTGTTATGACTGCATTTAAAGATAAGGAAGTTCAGGCACAGAGAGGTAAGGACACTTGCTTAAGATCACAAAGGTGGGAAGTGGTGGGCCCAGGATTTGATCTAAGAACCTGGCTCCAGAGTCACGTTTTAAACCAATAAACTCTGCTCTCTCTCTCGGGCCCCACAGTCAGCCCAGCTCTTCCGTCCATCTTTGGTGAGCTTTCCCAGCCTTCACCTGACAGGTGCTGGCAAAATTGAATGTGGCTTGGTAATTAATTAATTCATCTCATTAACTCAACAGATGTTTATGGAGTGCTCTCTGCCAGCCCCTGTGTTCTGACGACACAGGATGAAAGAGGCAGTCGTTGGGCTGGGACTGCTCTCCAGACAGAAGACAAAAACCAAATAACTTACAGATATGTAGCTTGAGAAACCAGGGAGCGTGCACAGGAACGGTGAGGGGCGGAGAGTTGGGCTGGGACCTTACTGGTCTTTCCATGCCCCACAAACAGTGCAACTGTATCACTCCTATCAGGCCTGAGCCTCTGTCCTGGCAGCAGGCAGAGCGAACGAGATCGGTGAGAAAGCCTTTGGGATAAGAAAAGGGCAATTTCCATGTGAGTACTGGGATACAGCGGCATCTTACCTCCTAGGCTGCAGGCTGGGAGAATTTCGGAAGGGCACTTCCGGTCCAGCTCAGCTGCTCCACTGAGGGAAAGAGAACCAGAAAACCCCAAGTTAACCGATTCTGCACAACAGAACCCAATTTCGTTGTACCCTCAGAAGTGGCATCCACAAGGTCAGGGAACCCTTTTTCTTGAAGTCCTCTAAATTTGGGCACCACCTGGGGCATCTCAGGAGTGCAGTGGGGTGGGCAGGAGGGATGTCAGTTTTCATAGCAACCTATAGCCAGCTACCCCTCTCCTTAATGTGCTCAGAAAAGGTAGGGCTAGTACTGTTACCATGACAACTCCTTCCCTAGACATAGCACCCCCTAGAGACAATCCCGGTGTCCAGACCTTGCTTGGGGAGCTTACTTCCTAAGGTCATTGGAGGGGGAAGGGGAGTTTATCCTGTTACCATAGTAACCAGCGATTGGGTTTGCTTGTTTCTCACCCCCCCACACACATATATGGTCCAGATCCTGTAACCACAGCAACTGCTCTGCAGAAGAGCATCCCCTGCTTTAGATAAAAACACCTGGTGGCTTAGGTCTATGGACTCCTAGGACGGGAAGGGAATGGTTACCATGGTAATGCCAATTAGGTGGCTGTGGAGGAGGGGTTCGGGAAGAGGTGATATTTCTCTTAGAGGCCAGTGTCCTTGGGGCTGGGGTTCTTCTCATCTGAGAGCAAGGTGTGGGGGTTACCATAGTAACTGAGGATGGGGCAGAAGGACCACCAGGGACTTAGGTTACCTTAGCAACCTCCTGGTGAAGACAGAAGAGGTTTGGGGCTCCAAACCACAAAGGGGTAGAGAAGAGGAGACTGGGGGGCTCTAGACTGGGGAAAGGTTATCATGACAACAGACCTGGCCAGGAGTGAGAGAGGATGGGACCATGGCTGAAACCACCCAAGGCGGCCATCCTTTCTTTCAGAGTGAAAGCGATTGTCCGGTGGAATATCTGGGTCTGGCAGGAGTAGGGCTCTTTGGAGCAAAGTGAGAGGAGGGGGGCAGAAAGCAGCCCCTTCCAAACTCGCTCCTGCGAGGGCGACCGGCGCGTGGGGCTGGGCCCTTCTTTGCCCTC